TTGGCGGGGCCAGTTGGAGGTGGGATTGGCCGGTTCTCCGAACTACTCAAAGTTTCCGCTACTGGTTCTCCAGAGCTGGTCAGAACCGGCTGAATCCCACCTTTGCCCTATACCATATCAGACAAATGGTTGTCCAGCCTCTTCTTAAAAGCCTCCAGCGCCTACAACTTCTGGAGGCAAAAGCTGTTCCACTGGTTAATTATTCTGGAAGGAAATTTCTCCTTCATTCCAGGTTGCTTTTATCCTTGATCAGTTTCCATCCGTTGCTTCTTGTCCTGCCTTCTGGTGCTTTGGAGAATACGTTGACCTTTGTCTTGTTTGTGGCAACCCTTGACATTATCAGAATGTTGCTATCCAGTCACCCCTAGTCCTTCTTTTCGTCAGACTAGACATACCCCAATTCCTGCCACTCCTGGAGGGCACGAGGGAACCCATCCGAAGCCCCATCTAAGAAGAACCAAATTTGGAAGGAGGAGGAGCTGTCCCCCATCACGTTGGAGTTCCTTTGTTCTCCACTTATTTTGAGTCAACCATGGGAAGTTGAAGATGGGTGGACTTCCTAACCTTTTGCTTATGATACAAACCCAATTCTTGTTGCCCTTTTTAAAAGAAAATCTAAAGAATTGTTTGCTTCTTTGCTAGCAGCCTCTCATTGCTAGTGCTTTCCTTGTTCACATTTCTGCCTTTTTCTTACCCCCGTTTCCAGGGCACCTTTGAACCAGGAGAAAAACCGATATGGGGATGTCCCCTGCCTTGATCAAACCAGGGTGAAGTTGTCCAAACAGTTCAACTATCAGGAGGTAAGTGAGGCTGATGGCATTTCAGGGAATCGAACTCCCAAATCACAAATGCTGCTCCACTGTTCATCCCCGTGCGAAGGGAGGCATCCATTTTAAACATGCAAGGAAGTTGCCACATGTGACATCTATTTTCCTGCGGAAGTAATTTGTGAAGTCCAGTAGAATGGGGGTACACTCTTCGTGTTTTTAAAGTTCAATTACAGAACATGGGGTTGTGCCAGATGAAATGTATAGTTCCGTTCCAGTGTTTTCTTGCCTTTGGTCTTGTTCTGTTTTGAGAAATAGAAAGCAAGAGGTTGTGGGAATAACCTTAAGTTCTCTTTTTGCCCGAGAACGTAGGAAAAATACTATTAGTTGCAAGAGAGAATATCAGATTGATGACGCAGGTTAGGACTACAAAGCTCCGATGACATGGGCCTTTTGTTTAGGAGTAGGGAGTAAAATCTGATCTTTTTTAAAAAAAAGATTGGAAAGCAATACTAAAAATATTTCCAGGTGTATCTTTGCCCGACGCCAAATGTAGTTCTGTAGGGTTGACAAACACGATTGTGTCTCCGTAGATGACCGACTACATCAATGCAAGTTTCATGGATGGGTACAAGCAAAGGAATGCTTATATCGGCACTCAAGGTATTTATGGTCTCTGATCTTGAAAGCATCGCCTGGTTCTTTAGAACCCATAGAGAAGAGGCACCATTCTGCATTCAGGGTCTGGAGTCTGTCAAATCACAGCTCCCTTTTCTGGCCTTGCTTGTCTGGTGCTCCAGAAAAACCCAATTTTTATCAGATTAGACCCAGGTGGGGGGTCCGTCATCCTTTTTAGCAACTAGAGGCAACCAGATTGAGTTGCTAAATTTTAATCCTGTGCAATATAGTGCAATGTGCAATGACATACGGTTATCCTGTGCAATAATGACATACGGTTATAATGGAACCTGCCCATTATATTGTCTGCCATAATGGCCTAAAACAGGTTTGCTCACATGACTAACCCAATTTTATGACCTTTTTTGCGATGATCATTGAGTGTAGCAATCATCCACAGTTTTGTCAAAACCCAGAAGTGCCCACTTTCCACTGAGCGCTTTCTTACTCTTTTTTTAAAATAATATTTCATTTCAATTTTCCACATTTAAAACAAAAGGAAAAAAAATATCTTTTTTTAGTGAACAGCAACATTCCAGGTTTTCACATCTCCATACAGTCATAGCTTTAATTACACATTCATCTTTCATAGTTAATTTCATCTCTTACCACGACTTTATGTGTTCTCTATTATTTTTTCTCAGATACTTCCCTCAGGCTTATTTGATAAATTTTCCATACATTTCTTATTTTCCTATTTTCTTTATTTTTAAATAATTCTCATATCTTCATATTCATTACGTTTATACTTTTTATCTGTCCTGTTTACAATTTCATTGCATATTCATATTTCATCATTTCAAAAATTGCACCTCAAATTCAAACATAAAACCCAGAAGAGCCTGCTTTCCCACGGAGTGCTTTCTTACTCTCTTGAAATCCCCTTCTCTCCAATATTCCCATGCCACAAGAGAAAGAACAGGCCAGGATCAGGACAACCTGATATTAATGTAAGGATGGTCGCATGATTGAGGGATGCTGCAGAGGTCGTAAATGCAGAAGTTTGTCAAGGTTATTTCTTCTGCACCATCATGACTTCAAATGGCCACTTAACAAAGCAGTTGGTAAGCGAGGACTACCTGTAGTATGGACCTTTCAGCAGCGTCTTTTATATTTCCTGTTTCACTGTAGGGCCGTTAGAAAACACATACAATGACTTCTGGAGGATGGTGTGGGAACAGAACGTACTGGTGATCGTAATGACCACAAGGTAACGTATCTGTGCATCAGACAATAAATGAGCATGATGACCTTGATGGGTTTTAGCAGGAGGGGTGACTTGCCCATTTGCCCTGATGCTCTGCTGAAGATGCTCTTGACTTGAAACATCAACTCAAACCCAAAACTCTTCTGGTTTTGGACTTGATGTCTTTCGCTAACTGGGCCAGCTGTGGCTCCTTCGTGTCTCCACGCTTCCGCTGGGTTCCAAGCTGACACCTTCCTGACATGCACACACCTTCCTTTTCTTCTTTCCGTGACAGGATTGAAGAAGGAGGCAAGCGGAAGTGCGGCCAATACTGGCCACTGGAGAAGGACTTCCAGATCGGCTATGGAACCTTAACGGTTACCAACCTTGGAACAGAGAACCTCAGCCATTACAAGAAGACACTTCTGGAGATGTTCAGCTGTGAGGTGATTGTGCAAACTCTTCATCAAAGGGCCAAGGGGTGTCATCATATTGGTCTTCCCTTTCCCAGCAGGTCCATTCCGTTGTTGCTCACAATCTATCATCCACCATCCTTTCAACCCTCTTTAACTGGCAACTTCTTGGATGGAGAGTTGGGCTACCCAAGATTATCTCGACTTGGTTTCTGTAACAGAAACATTCCTGGTGTCTTCAGATTTCTGGTTGTAAAATCCCTCATTCTCTCTCCATCGGTTGGCTCCGTAACAGTCCATAACTTCTCAACCTTCAAGGTTGCCAAGCCTTGAGAAACATTATGAGGTGATAATTCCCTGGATCCCTTGGTTGTACTAGCTGTGGCTGCTGGGACTTGTAGTAAGCTCAGCTCAACAGTGGAGGGAACTTGACACTAAGGTGGTGTGAACTGGACAATTAAACTTCCGGCACCGCTAAAAGAAATGACACAACTACCTTGGGGTGGAGCAGATCAGTACAATTTTTGCTAGGAGGAAAGCACTGTGTTCGTGACTACTCGTGAATTTAAGTGGGAAAGTGTTTTTAAAATTTGCAAAGCAAAAAAAAAAATGTGGGAAATGGCTTAAGTATAAATCCAAACTAAAGTTGCAGAAAAAGGAGTAAAAATGTCACAATTTTAATATTAAGAAAAAGAAAGAAAATAGGTGGATTTCAACTCCCAAGATTCCACAGTCGGCCATGCCAACTGGGAAATTCTGGGAGTTGAAGTCCATGTGTCTTAAAAGTTGCCAAGTTTGGAGAGCCCTGATTTAGATCATAGTTTGTTGTTTCTTCCATGTGGTCTCTTAAGCCGACTGTATGAGTCCACTCGCCTTCAACTTTTGGAGGTAGAGAAATGTTGATCTGAAGGAGTCGTCAACTCCTAAGCAGCAACCCATCTGTCAACTCATAAAATATTTCTAGGGTCTTTTTAGAGTTGCCAACAGAAAGGGAGGGGGGAAAGAGGCTTGAAAGAGCAGTGCGGCAGCTTGGAAATGGAAAATGCATTCCATAAATGTTTTCAAAGATAGTAACTAGGTGACTGAAATTCGTGCTAAAATTCTAACTGGAGAATATGACTGATGACTATTGGAGAATACGATTTATGACACACCCAGAGGGGTGGGGGAAAACCAGGGTCAAGAGGGACAATGAATGATGTGTCTCAGAGCCGGCTACACCCAGGTAGTGCCGACATGTTAACTCCCAATAAATCCTTTTGAAGTTTGGCTCGAGACTCGTGATTTAATTTGGGGTAACTGCCGGAATCCTGACACCGTCCTTGCAATCTTGGTGTGAACGTGGCGATCTGAAACGTATGATCCACTCTCTCTACCCCTCCCCCCCTTTTCCATTACCTACAGAACCGTGAGAGACGCCGTGTGACCCACTTCCAGTACGTGAGCTGGCCCGACTACGGGGTCCCTTCCTCGGCAGCGACCCTCATCGACTTCCTGGGAGCCGTCAAACAGCAGCAGAGAGTCGCCGTCAGTGCCTTGGGACCACGCTACAAAGGTCACCCGGGCGGGCCACCCATTGTAGTACACTGCAGTGCCGGTATCGGGAGGACAGGTAATGGAATTACCCCATTTCCCGTCCCGGGGTTTTGAGCAGAGGATTGGACTTCCAAGAACTTTGGAAGCTTCTTCCCAGGGGTCCACCTTCTGCTGCGTCCCAGCGTGCCCCACATAGCCAAGCCAGAGCTTAGGAACTTGGGAGTTGAAGTTCACGCCTCTGTTGGTGGAGAAGACTTCCCACTTGTAAAACTGGGAGTTGTTCTGACCAAGGCTTATTGAGACACTAACAAACAACACGTTAGTCCTAAAATCCTTTTTACTTTATTTCAACGGCTGTGAATTTTAGTCATTCACAGCCCGTAATGAGTCTCACACCGTTTGTAAATAGTCCCATGGAAGTCTGCCGAAGTCCTTCAGGATAAGTCTGATAAGCACTCACCTTTATCTTCCTTGAAATGCTGCCAATGACTAAATGTCCAATTAGTTGTACAAGACCAAACGGAGCATAAATTCAACACGAAGCTTCAGGTTTCAAACCGACCAGTAGGAACAAAGTTGCTTCCTGCAAAGGCTCCTGTCCCTTTGCTTCTCCTTTATGCCTTATGAGAGGGGCCAATCACCTCCAAGCCTTACTCCCAAGTCGCCCCTTTTGTCTTAACTGTTCTTGCCTTCTGGCAGCCCTGCATGTGTGCGCACTGGGAACAGGCTCCCGCTGTTCCTCTGCCTCACTTCTGCCACACTTAGGAGGCTCCAGAGTCAGCACATAACCCCCAGATGTATCAACCTTCAACTTCCCCCAAGGCCCTGCAGGTTGGGGATTATGGGACCTGAAAGCCCAACCTTTTCACCGAAAAGCAGACTCAAAAGGAAGCGAGATGTAGGATGTTGTGTTGTTTCAGAGGATGATCCATCCCTTTCCCCCTGTCCTTCCTCCAGGTACTTTCTGCGCACTGGATATTTGTCTGTCTCAACTGCAAGATGTGGGTACCCTCAACATTTACCAGACGGTGGTGCGGATGAGGAGCCAGCGCGCCTTCAGCATCCAGACCCCCGAGCAGTATTACTTTTGCTACTTGGCCATCCTTGAGCAGGCGTACAGAGAAAATCTCCTCCCTTCCTCCCATCCCAGGAAGGGTCCGGAGAAGAGCTAATGCGGAGGTCTAGATGAGAGGCTCACCATGTCCTCAGGTCAGGTCTGGAAACTCAGCCAGGCCTCAGCCACAGGAGGAAGTACTCCTTCCTTCCTTCCTTCCTTCCTTCCTTCCTTCCTTCCTTCCTCTTTCTCATCTTCCTTCCTTGTCTTCCTTCCTTCCTTCTTCCTTCCTTTCTCCCTTCCTTCTTCCTTCCTTTCTTTCTCATCTTCCTTCCTTCTCTTCCTTCCTTCTTCCTTCCTTCCTTTCTCATCTCCCTTCCTTCTCTTCCTTCCTTCCTTCCTTCCTTTCTCATCTCCCTTCCTTCCTCTCTCACATTCATTCCTTATCTTCCTTCTTCGTCTTCCTTCCTTTCTCGTCTTCCTTCCTCTGTCCCTTTCACTCATTTTTCCCTTCCTTGTTCCTTCCTTCCTTCTCTCCCTCCCTCCCGCCTCCTGCTCAACAACTAGGTTTGGTCGGAGCTTGCAGCTGGAACCTGGCCTGTGGCAAGCCCCCATTCTCCACCCCCAAAGTTGGAGGACATTTTTTTTTTTCTCATGGACTCCTCAGCCACAATGAGCCACGACCAGTAGCCACGGACAAGGGATCCCTTGAAACCACTGCCTTGACTGACCTGTGCCTTATGGAGAGAAGAAAATAATAATAAATAATAATTAATTAAATAATAATAATAATAATGAGGAGGAGGAGGATGCTAGCAACGAACCAAGCAAACCGACGGGCTGCGTTAACCGAGTCCATGAACTGAAGGTCTCGACTCTTCTCCACGGGCCAGTCCTACGAGAGGCTGCCACAGAAGAAGAACCACGCAGCGTTTCAGTCTTTTAACGACCGCTAGGCCTGCCTGCGTTGTCCATGTGTCCATGCAACGTCCTTCTCTTGCCCCGGGAATCGAACCACAGTTCCCGTTTATACAGGCGCAGCTGCTTCTAGCCAAGATTCAGCGTAGCGTCATTCCGGGGGGGGCGGCGGCGGGGGCAATGTCCCACGCTACTGCCAAAGTTGATGGCGCTTTCCTTTCTCCCCACCCCACCCCCATATCTCTGCCCCCTTCTGGGTTCAACCACGCCCACCGACCAGGAAGCTTTCCACCGCACGCCTTCACCTAGGGCACAGATGCCGAAGAGGGTGGCATTGGGGCAGAAGGCGGGCAAGGGGTGTGGAGAAGGCAATTTGGGGTTATGTTCTTCCTCATCCATTGGGGGGGCCCTTTTGGAAGGGTTCATGATCCTGGGGGGGGGGCTCTGGAGCCTGCAGGACGGGGCGGGGAAGGAGGGCGGGAATTGCTTGTGTGTTTGTCCCTAGCTGGAAATGCTGGTACGAATAGGGGACCAGAAAGAAGGGTCCAAATGGGGCCTTGCGGGATTTTTTGGGGGGATGGGGGCACAGGCAGAGAGGGAGGGGCAGGGATTGAAGCTGGAACAATTCTCTTCCACAGAGGATCTTCTTTCAGGTGAATCTGGGGAAGGGGAAGAGTGGGGGGAGGGGGGAAGACTTTGAAGGCATCAAGAGACAGAGAAGGTTGTGTGAAAGCTGGGGCGGCCAGTAATCTCGCTTGTAGCACGTGGTGGCCTCCATAGCAGCAAGACGGCCTAGCTGTCGTAACCCGGATCCCTGGTGCCTCTCCTCTTTCTCTCTCTCTCTCTCTCTCTCTCTCCCTCTCCCCCTCTCCCCCCTCTCTCTCTCTACTTGCAAAGGAAAAGTGGGCCCGGCGAGCTACGTGAATAACTGTATACTGGAACCAGGTCTTTAGAATGTATATATTTTTTAATTTTTTTTTATTTTTTACAACCCCCTTCTCTCTTTTTTTTTTTCCTCTTCCCCCTTTTTCGGTTTTTATATTTAATCTTAACTTGCTCACATCCAAGTTGGGAATCATTGTAAATGTTCCTGGTCGCTGCTTCCCAACGAATTATGGGCTCTTTCGGGGGTGGGGGGGAGGGGGGGAGTTATTATTTTCGTTTTGGGGTGGTTTTTTTTTGGTATTCACCATTAAATATGCCTACAAACCCACAAGCTTAGTGCTGTTCCTTTTGCGGCTTCTGCAAACGGGTGGTCGAGGGCAGAGGTGGGCAACTGATAGTCTTTCTCCTCTTAACAGATAATCAGAGTTGGAAGGGACTGTGTAGGTCATCTAGACCAACCCCCTGCCCAAACAGGAGACCCTACGCCATTTCTGGTCCAGTCTCTTCTTGAAAGCCTCCAGTGATGAAGCTCCCACAACTTCCGAAGGCAACTTCTGTTCCATGGGTTGATTGTTCTCGGTGTCAGAAAATTCCTCCTTATTTCCTGGTTGAATCTCTCCTTGTTCAGTTTCCATCCATTGTTCCTTGTCTGGCCTTCAGTTGCCTTGGAGAATAGCTTGACCCCCTTCCTCCTCTCTGGGGCAGCCCCTCAAATATTGGAAGATGCTCTCCTGTCTCCCCTGGTCCTTCTCTTCACTCTTGACCGACCTTGGCCCAATTCCAACACCTTTTCGGCAAGCGTGTGATTGCAGGTCTGTGCCAAAACTTCCATTCTAGGTAGATGTTGCTCCTGAGGAATTCTGGGAGTTGAAGTCCACACATCTTAACGTTGCCCAGATCGGGGCGGGGGCGGGGGGAAACAACAGTTTTCAAGGATGTTGCCTTTCAGGCACGTAGCAAAAAACGATGGATGGAAGTTAAAAGAATGGAAACAAGCTTGCAGGATTGTTTTGAAGGTAACTCTTTTTCTAAATTGGACTCATTGGAAGAACGGTGGTCTTTGCACAGTGAGCCATCCTGGAAGAGGATAAGGAACTCGGGTTCGAGTACCCGCCGCTATGGGGCTGATTTGACGAAAGGTGCAAATTTAGACCAAATGCATCCGTGAATTAAAATGCATCAGAGTCGGACTTTGGCATTTCACCTGTTCTCTCACCCCGCCTAGACTGCAGTTTGTAGACAGGACCCATAGTGGGCCTCCCCTGAAAGGATGGGTAGAGATAACCTGGAACGGGGTAACCAGGAATTAGGATATTTCCAAGGGGACAAAAGGGGAAAGAAGGGGCTGTGGCGGAAGGGATAGCAGAACCCGGAGGTGGAGTCAAAAGAGGGATCAGCCTGGAATCCTCAGGTAACCACAAACAACCAAAATCTAATCCCCTTTGAGTGCTGCTTATAAGAGACTAGCTCGATACCTGTGCTTTGCAATGAAACTATGTTGTCGGGCTTAGTTTTGGGGGGAGGAAAATAAGGGGGAAAAATCAGCCTCCTCCTCCTCCCAGCATCTATCGGTATTCCTCTGGCAAGCGTCCTGTGAGTGTGTGAGAGAGTTGAGGGCTGTTTGGAAACTGAAACAGTACTTGCTGTGTGAGCAAGGAGGAGACAGCAAGGAGCCTGGGTGTGGCTTAGCTCAACTGTTCTGTACTAAAGCTGCTTGGTGCTGTGAAACTGAAACTCCTCTCTGTTTGTGTTTTGCCTTTGGAAGAGATTTCTCTTCAGGTGGGGAGGGGGAGTAGAACTCCTTAGCATCAGAGCGTGTTAATAACAATAATATACGAAATACTCTAAATGCTCTGATGGTCATTTAGAAAAATCCTTTCTTAGTGAGCCCCTAGAAGCTAAGAGGAACATACGTGCCAAATTTACATACATACATAACACACATACATACATACATATATATATATATATGTATGGCATTCAGCTTTGTTCGGGTATTTTCCCACGTCATTTCCCACAATGACGTGAGAAAATACCCAAACAAAGCTGAATGCCATACATGTAAGTACCCGCAAAAACTTAAGAATATATATATATATATATAATATACACACACACACACGTTTTTATATTCAAACATACACGTAATAAACATATTTACCCATACATACACACACTATATGCATGTGTGTGTGTTATGTTTTTGTGAAGAAACTAGGGAGGGTTTTTTTTAGGAGAGTCTGTCCCATTTTTAGTATTTTCTGTTTATTGCTTCCATGTGTTACCTGGTTGCTTTTATTGCTTGTAAGCCGAGACATTTCTAGATGAGATGAGCGACATTTAAGCTTAATACTGTAAATATCCATGGGAATCTCGACGATGGAGATTCTCCGTCCTCCAAGTCCCAGTTGTCCCAAAGGTGCCCCCCTGTGGTAATATATCCATCATATTCTGCAAGTTCTTGTACAGCTTTGTAAGATCTGGGGGTATCACAAACGCTCCTCATGAGGGCAGTAGTGTCTTTATGATGAGAGTTTGATCCTGTTATCTGCAAAGCTCAGAGGACAGGAATGTGTGTGGGAGTTCACAGTACCTATCCGAGCCATGGGACCTTTGGTGCCCTGCTTTCTCACGGGAAATTTATCACCTTCGCCAAGGCCTAGCTAGATAATGTTGCTGAGCTAATGTTGAAGTCATTGTTTTGATTTTGTATTTGTATTTTCTTAATAAATACTGCTACTCGAGGGCTCTCGGGGCTGGCAGTTGCTCAGACGTCTTCCCTGCGTCTCCCGTCATTTTTTCAATTGCCAGTCCATCACAAGTGGTGACCCCGACGTGATAGTTTGGAAGGCTATACGTTTTGGCGTGTTAGCTTGAAAGCTATACGTTTCCCGCATCCTATACTCATCGTCGCGGACGTCGACTGGGCCCTCATCTTCTTCGCTGGACGGAGACAGATTCTTTTCGTGAGTATGGGGGAAGGTCTCTCGAAAGCTCAGACAAAGCACCTTAGAGAAATGAGAGAGATCGCTGGGAATAGTTTTAAGTTTGGAGTTCATAGTAGAGGACATGAAGTAGGAAAGAAAGAAATTGAGGATTTATTACAGTATGTTTGGAAACATATTCCGTGTTATCCAGAGGGAGGTAGTATTAAAGTAGAGCGCTGGAGAAAGATAGGGAAATTTTTGCACGAGGAGCCTCGTGCCCCTTCTTCAATTTTGTTAACCTGGAGGGTGGTTATGGATGCATTAGCTACGCATGAACAACCGCTCCTATCACCCCCCGAAGAAGGTTTGCCGCCTTACAATGCGGTACGTATATTGCCACCGACAGCACCTCCAGATAAATCCAGAGGGCTGTCAGGCACTGAAAATACTTTGTCAGAAGAGAAGAGTTTGCCTTTAAGAGTTCAAGTAGATGCAGTTACTGCAGCTATTCAAGAAGCAACAAATAGAGGGGAATTATCAGGAGATGATTTGGTAGATTTT